ATGGTGGCTACTCGGGAGGCTGAGGCAGGAGGATCGCTTGAGCCCAGGAGTTTGAGGTTGCTGTGAGCTAGGCTGATGCCACGGCACTCTAGCTGGGGTAACAGAGCAAGACTCTGTCTCAAAAAAAAAAAAAAAAAAAAAGATGAAATTAATCACTTGCAGAACAAAAAAAAAGGAGTCACCTGGGTGAAGAGATTAACAAATCACAAATCTATTATAAACTGCAAACCTCGTCCTTATCCGTTTATTTCAACATTTCCTGTACATCTGGCCAAAATGTCACACTAAATTGCCATTAATACATAAATCAAAACTGAAGTTTTCTCTCATCTTGTGTACAATTCTCAGTATTTATCACTTGCTATTCACATATGATCCATCTTAAAAAAAAAACAAGAAATAAATTGCACAGCAATGACATCAGCAAGAATTATTTTTTGTAATGAAAAGAAACCCTTTTCCTTCTCCATAGATTAGTAATTTAGGATACGACATTTTTCAGTGTTGGTACCAGATTCACATAGTCCTCATTACAAAATTTATTTATTTGAAGCAAAATATTTGTAGATTGAAAAAAATTTAGTTATCCATCTGAACTTGAATCTGAAGACAAAAAAGCCATGTTGTGGGACTAAAGGGTGCTCACACCCATTCAACCCCATCACCTGCCCACGGGGGACGCAGTCAGCTCGGGGCCTGGCCCTGCTGGAAAGGCAGACATGTCACTGGGATGAGTGGGGGTGTGACTGAAACGCTGCACACCCGGCCGCTGTCCTGGCTTCTTGTGAAAGCCTGAAGGTGCCGCTGCTGCGCACACACAGGCCTGCCGGAAATGACTTGGTGCGTGGAGCAAGGGCTGCCTCTTACTCACACCAGTTGCACCTAGTCCCCCCTGGCCCCTACTGTCTCGCTGAGGACCCCTCCTCATTTGTTTCCCGCCTGTTGTACAAGGCAGGGTGGCAGACACATTCTGCACAGCACCTAGGAGCAAAGCTGGGACCAATGGAAGTCTCAGAGAGGGAGACTGAGGAAGAACTGCAGAAGTCTGGGGTTCCCAGCTCTACTGACTCATCCATTCTCCATCTCACGCCTCCTTAGAATCTACCATCCCAGAACTTGCAGAAAACCTCAGGGACATTTTTATAGGTCCTTTAAATCAAACCCTTACTGAGTGCTGGAGTCCCCTCTAGGACATCCCTGAACAAGCCTTGTCCAGTCCTGAATAGGACGGCAAATAAGGCCGGGCGCGGTGGCTCACGCCTGTAATCCTAGCACTCTGGGAGGCCGAGGTGGGAGGATCATTTGAGCTCAGGAGTTTGAGACCAGCCTGAGCAAGAGCGAGATCCCGTCTCTACTATGAATAGAAAGCAATTAGCCAAACAACTAAAAAAAAAAAAGAAAAATTAGCCGGGCATGGTGGCACATGCCTGTAGTCCTAGCTACTCGGGAGGCTGAGGCAGAAGGATCACTTGAGCCCAGGAGTT